GTAAAGACTTTGCTGACATGTGTTCTCATAAGACAGAAGAGGTCAGAAATGAACAGGTGTCTAATTTAATCAACAACTCTAGACTCTAGGGCCTCTTGGATGACTTCAATATATTCATCTTCTGAGTTTTTGTACGAGCAGAAGGATTGTTTTACTGGCTTTTTTCTTTGGAAGTATCCCCCAGTACAATCAAATATTAAATCTCTTTGCAGCTCAAATGAAGAGTTTATGTTAGACAGTATGGTCAGACTGCTTCTTTCCCTTTCTATCCCCCTTCAGTAAAAGACCTTTCATTCAGAATATTACTTATATTACTTTTGTGAGACAGATTTACATGGCCTGGGTTGCATGAATTCTAGGCCGAGAATTGGCTTCCAGACAACTATCCTACTGTACTTCAACATAAGCCTCTATGAGCAATAATTAGTAGTACACATCTTGTCTGTAGCTAGGAGAGCAGATTTTCCCCTTTCAGATCTGGAATGCTAGGTTGGCAGGTCAGCTGGCACTTCTGAGCTGGAAACTGGGCATGTCATTTCTGCTAAGTGCTAAGCCCTCATTACTCAGGGTCTGGATTCCTAATTCACTTTTGACCTTGATTCTGAGCGATGTATACAGTATCGTTTTTCAACCAAGCTCAGTTCAGAATTCTAGCACAAGCTTTTTATAAACTGCTTCCCATTCTTGTTTCCTCCTTGAAGACCATAGCTGAGCATTCAGAGATCAAAGATTTTTACATATGCATGTTGGAATAATGAACATCTATATAAAGAGTAGTATATTCATAAATTTCCATCTATTCTCTGTCATGTGCACCTGTTTGTACTCTCTCTCGATGGGCGGATATATGTAACTCATAGTGATATATAATACGTCTAAAGATATCTAAATTAAAAATTAAGGTTTCACATGTATTATTCATTTTATATGCAAGAGGGAAAATCTTACTACACTACTCGATAGTGGTGTTTTTTCTGATTTTTGTGTTTTGCTATTTTTTTTCCTCCAGCTTCATTAGGTAATGATAATTGAAGGCTTTCTTTTATATTGACTTACAATAGATTAACACTTCCCCCATAAAATTTTCTGTCATGCTAGTAGTGCAGTATACTAAAGTATTGCACACACAAATATGAACATATTTCTTGTTGGCTTCACTGGGAAATAAACTTAAACTTTCACGTACTGTGTTTTATAACTGGATACTGGTAAACTGTTTCAGTCATAATTTTATGCAGATTTTTTTGTTGTTGAGGTTTTTTGGGGTTGTTTTTTTGTTGCTGTCGGGTTGGGTTCTTTTTTTTTTTTTTAATAGAATCTATGTGTGCTATATAATAGTAAATGAATGGAGAGTTTCAGTTTTGTGTTCTTTGTTTTAAGCCTGCCACAGCTGAGAACAGAGAGTTCAGGCATATGCACTTGCTTTCTGCTATAGTTTTAAACACAAGCTTTGAGGACA